CAGGTAGCCACCAACCAAAGGACAATGTCTACAGCATTCTCCTAGAGCACAGTTTCTGCATGTTCCTTGTGCTCTGTGGTCCAGTGTGTAGAGACTCTGAGTTGGCATGAAACACTCCCAGGACAGCCACCCAAACACTTCTCTCCTACTGTGACAGCACCCCTTGTGGGGACCAACACAGGAAAGCATTACAAATCAAAAATTGCCTTTCTTTCTCTGGCCCTGAACCTCCTAGGAATTCTCACTAGGGCTTTCTGTGTCTAAGCTAGACTAAAGATGAAGTGATTCAAAGGCTGGAGACAGAAGGAATGAGAAGGTAGAGGCATGGACCAGTATCCTGGGGTGCAAGGCATTTAAGAAGGTGCCTGGGAAGGTTGGGAAAGGAGGCTGAAAAGGTAAGTTGAGGCCTACACTATCAGCCCAGTCTTTCCCACTCAGCTAAGTGTGTGTACCAGCAGTGATGGGCTCTAGACTGACAAAGCTCAGGCTACGTGGATCATCCGTGACAGGCACTACCCACCAATAGGGAGAATGTCTATGCCTGTGAGTAAGTTTAGCCTTACCTTTCTGAGCGGCTCTCTCTCACATGCCTGCTTTTGACATCCTCTCTCTGCTAATCTACCCAGCTTCACCCTGGCCTTGCCCACACCTAATGGCATATTATTACCTATTCATAATCCATTTCCAGTTCCATCTGTATGCATGAACTTTGGTTCCCTGACATCCACTTCCTTGAGTCTTTAGAAGAACTGTTTGAAGTGAATGCCATCTACCCTTCCCTTCCATATAAAAAGAAATGAAGGCAGCCGTGCTGAGATGCTGTCTGGATTTGCAGGCCGGGCTGTGTGACTACAAACACAGAGAGGAAGTCACCTTCCACAGTCCAGAGTTCCCAGATTTGTGTAGTTAACCAACGGAGGGCGGGAAATATTTAGAAAAACACATGCATTTGTACTTGTAGACAGAAGTTTCTGTCCTGCCTGGTCCTGCAGCTGTTCAGTCCCAAAGAAACACACAGATGTTTATACTAATTATTAAGTGTTTGGCCTACTAGCTCAGACTTATTATTAACCACCCTTACAACTTAAATTAACGCATAATTCTTGACTGTGTTTAGCCACGTGGCTTGGCACCATTTCTCAGTGAGGTATTCTCATCATGCTTCCTCTGCATCTAGCTGGTGACTGCATCTCTGCCTTTCCTCTTCCCAGAATTCTCTTAGACTGGTTGCCCCACCTATACTCCTTGCCTGACTACTGGCCAATCAGTGTTTCATTAAACCAAAATGAGCAACAAATCTTTGCCGTGTACAGGTGCATTATCCCATAGCATGTGCTGACCACGTACAGATGCTTTTTTTTGTCCCTCATCCCTTGAACAATACATTATTCCTGTTCACCTAGTGCTTACATGGCAGTGGGTGTCTGAAGTGATTTAAAGTTGTGGGAGAATGTGTGCAGTCTATATGCAAATACAATACGATTTCACACGAGACTAGAGTAGCTGTGGGTTTCGGTAAGCAAGAAACATCTAGAACTGATTCCCAAGTACCAAGGGCTGGAAGTGTGATGTCATGGCGAGCAGTGGGAACCACAGCCCAAGTGCTCGGAGTACGGGCTTGAACACCTTGGACTTAAGCTAAAAACAGTACTTATTCTCCCAGGATGTGCACTATATTATCTGTTTGTTTAAGCCATTAATTTGTCTTTCAAATATTTTTTGAAATTTAGTATAGATTTTGTGATAAATGCTAAAGATATCAAGACCAATTAGACATTTTTTTTACCCTGAACAGTCAAACAATCTAGTAGAAAGGGATAAGTAAATCAATAGGTACCATGTAGGTTGACTATGGTTATAACTATTCATAATAAAAAATAAAAATAATTTGAGCGGCAGTGGCACACACCTTTGATCCCAACACTCAGGAGGCAGAGGCAGGCAGATCTCTGTGAGTTTGAGCCAGCCTGGTCTACAAGAGCTAGTTAGGAAAACAAGTTGTTTACTCCCGCAGGCAGGGGGTCACAGGGTCTGGGGGTCCACAGTCCCCAACAGCACACACCTTTCATCCCAGCACTCAGGAGAAGCAGGCAGATCTCGGTGTGTTCAAGGTCAGCCTGGCCTACAGAACAAGTTCTACAACAACCAAGACTACACAGAGAAACCCTGTCTCAAAAAATAAAAGAAAACTTTGCCTCTGGCATTGGTCCAACTTGTCCTTTGGCCAAACAGCAGCCTGTGACTTGCTGGCTGTGCCGAAGTCTCTCTTTGGGGACGACAAGTTCTCCAGCAGGTATGGTGGATCCCGGGAACTTACGACTCTCCAGTATGGATTTATAAGCATGAAGAATTGTCTGCAATTATCCCCCGCTTCTCACTAAACTGCTATTCTATTTCAGCATGGCTAGCATGTACTCTTTTATAATTAATCAAAAAGTTGTCTTTGATTAAATAATTATGTTGGCTTCGGACTACTAAAAACTATAATTTGGTGGGCTACACACAATTTATTTCTAATGACTGATGCAGAGTTGATAGCAAAATCTATCACTAAGTTTATGGTTCTAGTTTGCCCAGCAGTCTTAGCTGGCACTGCCTCACGTTGGAGAGTGAACCTGTCAAGGTTTTGTTCCAGTTTTGAGAAGTTTTGAGGAGACTTGAAGAACTGGAAGGGTTAGGCGCCAAGGAAACATGAATATGAGGTTAGGAAAGTCAAGGAGAGAGCTCCAAGTGCATCTCTGAGCTAACTGGGTGCCAAGCCCTGATTCCCCCCCGCCCTTTTTTTTAAATTGCATTTAGAGGGTTGGAAAGTTGGCTCAGTGATTAAGAACACTAACTGTCCTTTCAGAGGACCCGAGTTCTATTTCCAGTGCCTACAGGGCAGGTTGCAACTATCTGTGACTCCAGTTCCAGGGAAGCCTACATCTCTTCTGGCCTCCTTGGGCATCAGGCATAAATGTGGTGCACAGACTTACATGAAAGCAAAACATCCACACACACAAAATAAAGGCAAGTTTTAATTGCATGTTATTTAATTATTCTATGTGCATGCACACGTGCATGCTTTAGCACAAGTGTGGAGGTCAGAAGACAGCTTGCAGGGGTCAGTTCTCTTCCTCCACCATGTGACTTGGGCTTGTCACTGGCCAGTGCCTTTACCTCGTGAGCCATCTTGCTCCCCACCATTTCTCTCCCAATTTATTTATTTTTCTACACTGCTGTGTAGCTTGAAGGTAGATGTTTATAGTGTGTCTCTGTCCCTTGGGTGTCTGTCTATATTGCTTCTGGTTAGGCCGCTCTGAGGAGGCACTTGAGGGTAGAAATAGAGAAAACCCTGGGTGTTGCTTGCTCCACCTGTCTCTGTGGCTCTCAGTTGTGGATTGTAGCAACTACATATTCCCTATGGACAGAGTTCTTATGGGACAGCCCTTTCCTATTTCCAGCTTTGTGTAGGCCAGATGGCAACCTCAGGTGTTATTTCTCAGGTGCTGTCCACTTTGTTTTAGATGAGAAGATCTCTCCCTAGTCTGGGATTTGGCAATTGGGCTAGACTAGCTGGCAATGATCTCTAGGAATTCATTTGTCCCTACCTCCCTATCAATGGGATTATAAGTGTGTCCACTATACTTGGCTCGACTCTCTAAAAAACAAACATCTCTGCATTCTCTCTGGTTTACAGGGCAAGCTCCAGGACATCCAGTACTATACAGAGAAACCCTCTCTCAAAATAAAAACAAAAAACAACAACAACAAATTAAACCAGCAAAAAACCCAACCAACCAATCAATCAAACAAAAAACCAACCAACTAACATTAACCAACTAACCAAACAAACAAATGAAAAACCAATCAACCAACTAATCAACCAACCATCCAACCAAAAAACCAACCAACCAATCAACTAACCACCCAACCAAAAAACCAACCAACCAACCAACCAACTAACCAACCAAAAAAAAAAATCAACCAACCAACCAACCAACTAACCAACCAAACAAAAAAACCAACCAAACAAACAAACAAATAATTAACTAAGCAACCAACCAAACAACCAACTAACTCAACAAACAAGTAAGAAACCAAACACAGTTCTGGGGATTTAAATCGGGTCCTCATGCTTCCAAGGCAGGCATTTTTACTATCAGCTCCTGGGCTCCTCCATGGCTCCAGTTTTTAACCTAATCCCTGACTCTCCTACCTGACTCTAGTTTTTGGGTGAGGACAATTACTAATCACTAGGGAACTCAGTTTCCTTTACTCCTCCTCCTTTGGTTATCTTAACCCATACTAGTCTTCAGTATAAAGCTCTTTATGGTGCCGAGTACAGGGGCGTGCACCTGTAATCCTGGCTACTTGGAAGGCAGAGGCATGAGGGTATCTTGAGCTCAGAAGTTCAAAGGCAGACCAGGAAATAAAGTAAGAACTTTTTAATTTTCTTTAAAAGGTGTTTCATTCAGTTAGAGGCCAGCAAATCTCTGCGAGTTTGAGGCCAGCCTGGTCTATGTGAATTCCAGGTCAGCGGATCTATGTAACAGAGAGATTCTGTCTCAAATATACGTACATATATGTATATACGTGTGTGTGTGTGTCCACAGATAGCAAGTATTTCACATCCTCAACAAGCAGGTCACTGTGTCTAAGGTTACAGTACACGAATCTCGAAAGCATGCCTGGTATCAAGCTGGGTGAGAGAAGTGTTCTGGTTTGCTGTATTCTACAGTTTGTGATATTTCTTTCCTTCTCTCCATCTCTGGAACGTCTGAATGTCAAATCCTTCAAACGGGCAGGAGATGATGAGGTGATTCTCCTTTCGGATTTGTGGGGAGGTAGATAAGAAAAGGTCATTTGAAAAGCCAGTGCCACCTGGAGAGGGGAGCCCGTGCCCACTTGTGACTGATGATTGATTGATACACTGATGTGATAAGAAGGCACACCTTGCGCTGGGGTCATTCTTCTGCTTCTTATCAGAGGTGGAGTGTCACACTTGTTACCCTGGAAAAGATGTAGTTTATTTTTAAACTATAGATGAATCCGGGTTTTGGGTGGTGGGTGCTTTGTTTTATAATCACCAGAGCCTGGGCCATAGCCACAAGTAAACACGCTACTGCTGCATAAATCGGAGCCGCTGCAGAGTGGAGAGGTGAGAGATAAAATCGTCCATACCCGCACCAGATGATACATACTTCTGCGTTCCCTCTCGAATGATCACATTTATCCATCCCTGCAACTCGTCTACACAGGCAGAGTTGATATTTCTATTTGCATTTCATAAAGCTTAGTTCAACAAACACTTATTAATCCCCACGCGTATGCCCGGCCCTCTCCTGGGCCCCAGGAACACTGAAAGGGAGATAATGTGCTTTCTGTACTCAGTACAGTCTAGTGGGAGACACCAACACAGCAACTCGCTGAAAGTGAAGTAATGGGCATTGTATGCATGGGTCGGTGCCAAGAGGAAGGAAGAAGGACGGGGGTTAGATGTAAATGTCACTGAGCGCTTACCTTGGACTAAGGCCCTGGTGCATGGGCCATGGATTTCCAGCAGCCAGCCGTACCACCTGGGAACCTGTTAGGACTGCAAAGGTCCCACCCCAGGTCTGCTGATTTAGACTCCGTTCTTCAGCAAGATGCTCAGGGCATCTCTATCACTCCCCTCCCCCCGTATGCTCTCTACAGCAATCAGGAGAGAGGGCCCTGCACCTCACCTGGGCACACAGTAGAGCTGGCTCTGGCGATATGAGTGAGGGGGACCCGAATCAGAGGGCCTGAGCACAGGAGCACTGGCCCTGCTCCTTACTGTAGGCTGAATTGGGTGAGCTAGCCCTGCAGTGCTGGAGAGTTCGTCTGAGTACTGAGGATGAGGGAAAGCTAGCGAGCTGACCAGCCGAGCTACCAGGAACCCAGAACCAGGGCTGTGAGTTGGCCCACCCATCTATGAACTGTTGGAGTATGTGAGGGGACAAACCTACAGATCTAAAGCAGCAGGATCTCCATGATGCAGGACAACAGCGGGATATCCACGAGGAGCTCAGTGAGCGCCCACTATCATTCTTGGTGCTGTAGCAGAAACCAGACCAATGACTTGTGGCAATGAACACTTGCAAGTAAAGATGCAACAGACTAAAGGGTGAACACTGTGTGTCTCAACGGGCCACACTAAGCTTCCGTGATAAGATTCTTCTTTTCCTTCTTTTTTCCTTTTGTCTGTTTGTTTGCTTTTGTTGTCTTGTTTTTGGTTTTTCTTTTAAACTTGGTTTTGTTTTGGGGGGAGGTTACAAGGGCAGAGAGCAGATGCAGGGGACAGGAAGAGAAGTGGGGTCAGAACGTATGACGTGAAGTCTGCAAAGAATCAATAAAAGTAAAAATAATTTTTTTTAACTTGGAAAAAAAAAAGAAACGCTGGCCTAGGAGAGCTGCAGGTTTTATTTAACCCACTGAGGCGGTCATCACGGTCTCAGTAAAGGCAGGAGGTGGAGGGTACACAGTTCCCTATGCACCATGGAATTGGGATTTGAACTCAGGCCTGACAAACTCCCAGGCTCCATTCATTCCTCTGTGCTTCTCTTTCATATCCAGAGGTTTCTGGGGCACATCACAGCAGAGATGATGTCTGAGCTGTACGTGGAGGACCACACAGAAGGAAGAGGACATGCTTGGTATGCCCTCCAGAGCCAACGCTTGGCATGGCTGTGCAGCACGGCTCCTGACTACTAGGGACAATAAGGGGGATCAGAAAGTTAGAATCAAAGTATAAAAGGCCTTGAATGCCATGCGAAGGAGCTTGAGTTTCCCTGAGAGATGACTGTGACCTGCCATGGAGCTGTGATCATTCACGGATTCAGTCAATTCCTTGTCTCTGTCAGGATGCATCCCAGGCTGAGTTATCTCAAACTGGACCCTGACACAGACTTTGGAGTTGTCAAAAAAACTTGCTTCTTAAAATAAATACCTGTGAGCCAGCATGAAAGTTCATGCCTATAATCCCAGCACTCAGGAGGCAGAGGTCTTGAGTTCAAGCTCAGTCTGGCTACAGAGTGAGTTCAAGCTGGCCTGGACTACAGTGTGATGCCCTGTTATTAAGAAGAAGAGGGAGGAGGAGATGAAAGAGAGAAGGAGGGGGGAAGAGAGGAGGAGAAAAGAGAGAAATCAATACCTGTGACGGGAAGAGGAAGAATGAAGGCTGAGTTTAAGCGAATCCCAGACTCCCTCCCAGAAATTAGGGCTGACTTAGTCTGACATTAGTCAGAACTGTCACAGATGCCGGCAGTCACAGCAGGGCGTGGCCTTGGGTGACGTGGCTCTCTGCCAGTGAGGGAGTTAGTTCTGTCTGTGTACTAACTGTTCCCCTCATAGCTAGGCCTGAGTCCCACCTGCAAGGGGGCTCTGGGAGGCACACCGTGCCTAACACTTACCCCTCTGTCTCCTCATTGACGGGTGGAAATCCTGCCACAAACCCCGGTGGACTCTCAGCTCTTCTTACCCCCTGACAGGGGAGCATGTTGTCCTCCGAGGGCGAGCTTTCTTGCTGAGTTTTGGAAGGCCTGACTGTGGCCCGAGGCACAGTGGATCACGGAGACTCCATGGTTTGCCATTCTGAATGCTTCCGCTTCCTCTCGATGCCTCAGTCCTCGTCAGGATGTGCTGGGCGAGCTGTGTCAAGAGACAGGATGGTTGAAAGCTCAGGGTTTGGAAGGAGGGTTTAAGCTGAATTGTGAAGCTTCATTTGGATATAAAACTTCTGTATCAGAGACTCAAGGAAAGACCCAAGCAGGGTCCATCCTTTCTCGTAGCGGTCTAAAAGTGAGTGGCTATGAGCTCCAGAAGGGGCATCACCCTGTGAACCTCAGGTCCCATTGGCTTGCTTCTCTATTGTCCTTAGTCAGAAGTCTCTGTGCCAGCAGCATCAAGACCATCTGGAAATGTACCGGAAATGTCATTTTCACATCTCACCTATCAGATGCCAAATCAGGAACTCTATGGCTGGGGCCCAGCCACCAATTTGTATTTCACTGAATTCTGTTGCTGTGGTTTTGCTTTGGCAGTTCTGAGACTGGGTTTCAACAGGTAGCTCAGGCTGCTCCACTCATGCCCTCTACACTCTGGGATCACCGGGATGTGCCATCCCATTAGGCTCCGTCCATACTTAAATCCTCCAGGGGTCTCTGGTGACATTTATGTTTGGGAAATGCTGACCAAGGTTTCCGTCCTCATTTGTTAGATGATAGCGTGAGACCCGCCTGTGGCAAGGCAGCAAGGACCATCAAGAGTGCACGTCACTTCTTTCAAACAAAGTGCTTGAAGTTAGATGCTTCACTTTGGTGGCAACCTAGCTTTGCAGCTGAGGGGTCAGGAGGCTTATTACCTAGTAGTGAAGAACCTTGGGAAATGTAATCTTCCTTTGAGAGGCATTGACTGCAGCTGAAATGTGGGGTTCTATACCAAATGAAAAGTAAAGGCAAGGCCAAGATCTCCTGAGTAAATTGGGAGCGTGGGGGGGGGGTGACACGAGAGAGGGTAGAAGGGGGAAGGGGAGGAAGGGAGGGGAAGGGAGAAAAACGTATAGCTCAATAAAAATAATTAAAATAAGAAAATAAAAAAAATATAGCTAGAAAGAAAGAAAAAGAAAAAAGGAAGGAAGGAAGGAAAGAAGGAAGGAAGAGGCAATGACCATTGGCAGAAAGTTAACAGTCTCCATCACAACTGTACTAGGGAAGGGGTGAGAAAAACTACAGCCGAGGGCACATGCCCCAGAGGAAGAGGGGCACACACTAGAGGAAGGGGGGTGCACTTAAGGATTAGACTCTGTGCCCAACCTGCTGAGGCAGGGAAGTCCTGGGCAACACAATAAGACCGCCTTAAAATAACACGTGAAATGAGGTCTGGGCTTATAACCCAGAGACAGATTTCGTGATGGCAGCTGTGACTCCTGGACTTAGTCCCCAGTACTGAGAAGAAAACAGCCTGTCGATGACGGTTCTGATCTCACAGTGAGGGAGAGGGAAGCGGACAAGTGCTGGCTTTCTAGATACATGTATAACGGCTGTGACAGCTAGAAAAGTAGAGAGAGGAGAGAGAAGGGGGTAGATGAGCTGGACTCTGGGCTCAGCGGATCCTGGTTAAGGAAAAAGCAGCCAGGCAGAAATGTCCGGTCCTGCCAGCTGCGATGTTGCCTACGATCCCAGGACCAACATCTGAGAGGCAGAGTCAGGAGGATGGCGTGTGAGGCCAGCTTGATCTACACAGGGTTGTGTCCCCAAAATCCCGTGGTCAGAGAGCTGGTGCGGTCTGAGGGATGCTGAGGCTGGAGCCGATGCCTGGGAAACACTGTGGTAGTCCGAGCAAGGTAGTCCATAGGCTTGCCCCGTGTGAGACACAAGAGGAAGAAGTTCTGGGGAAGCTGGATTTAAGGGGTGAGCACAGGAAGAGGAATTAGCGAAGGACACGAGAAAGGGTGACCCAGTGCGAAGCATGCCAGAGACCAGGGAGGCCAGAGACCAGGGAGGCCAGAGAACAGGGAGCCACAAGGTGTCAGGTGCCACAAATGTGACTCACGGGGCAAGCACTGGGAAATGATCTCTGGTGACGGATGATGCAAACCATTGTCCCGGACAGCTCAGGGAGATGGTCAGGGTGGCAGAGCCAGGACTCACCCAGTCTTCCTAAGAAGTCTCAGAAGCCACATAGAATCCCTGGCAGCCTTTTCTGCTCCGAGCTGCCCCAGGTTTGTGTCTGTCTTGAATTATTGTGGTCTTATCCTCCTCCTCTCTGCTTGAGTGGACTCACCCCAAGTCTAACTGTGACACGCCATCCTGGTTTATGGGCTTTGCTTTCCTCCCTTGCGTTCCGGACTGTCCCCCTTTGTCTTGCGGTGTGTCTCACCCAGAAGCCCAGCTGAGTGGATGAGTGCTGGAAAGAGTGTCGGTACCAAGGGTTCAGGTCTGTGGCCCTCCTCATCCTACCTCTGCATATTGTAAAGTGTAGACAGCTTGACATTGGTGCAGACAACCCAGAGTCAGGGACAAACCACACCACTGCGATCTTGTCGCTCTTGTCTGGAGGAGGTTGAATTTGGACTTAGCTTAGTTCCAAAGGGCTTAGGTTTTGGTTTGTGCTTTGTTTTATAAATCCTATTTTTCTAAATTTCGGACATTGGTGCATGCAGGTGTTGTACAAGGGAGCTGAATTATCCCGCTGCTTTGAGTGTTCTGCTTCTGATGCATGTGATGTTTTGCCTGCTGGAAGCAACTGGCAGCAGCAGACAGCCCCATCCACCAACCGGCACATTGTCAATCCCCAGGCCTGTGCTGACTGCAAAGCAGCCCACGTTTTTGCATATCTTGCGAGATCACTATGGGCACGAAGCCATTATGATGTGGCCCTTCTTGTCTCGAGCACTTTTCATAGTTTTGGTTTTTTTTTTAATAGCTTTATTTCCTATTGATATGAAAGAGACCCTTGATAACCCAAAATAAATAGAACCACAAATTTCAAGTTTCTTTGTCTGGTTTATGAGCATGGCTTTGTGGTCTGGTCTGGATAAGCCTAGACCTCCTTTGCGCATGTGGAACCTCTCATGGCAGGCGAGTGTGTGGCCTCCCTCAGCTCCGGCGTGGGGGAGTGACCTGGAGAGTCTGTGCTCACTTAAGATGTGGAACAAAGTCAGAGGTTCTGTCAGCAGGCATGAGTATGGCAGGTGACGGGCACAGCCGGTCCTCGGGCACAGCCGGTCCTCGGGCACAGCTGGTCCTCGGGCACAGCCCGAGTCACTTCATGTCTCCCTTGCAGGTGCTGCCACCCCAACCCAGCCATCCCATCATGCCATTACCACCAGCTGGACTATCAACAGTCTCCCTGCTTGATTCTGACTGCCCCATCCGTTCTGACACTGAAGCGTGTGTCCTCTTATCATGCCTGAAGACACGATGTTATTCATAACCTCTCTGTCTAAAACACCTTGGTTTTCTTTGTCAGGTTAGGATAAACTGTAAATTCATCAGCAGCCTGTGTGATCCGGCTCTCCTGACGGATCTCATGTCAGTTACTGCTCACCGATCTACCTGTCCTCTCTGGTCCACCATGAGTAAGCATGCAGGTTGCAGACTGCAGAACTGAGCTACCATGTGCAAGCATCCAGGTTGCAGGCTGCAGAA